ATGCAAGCAGTTATGCAAGCAGACTTGTCTAAATCTGGGAAGTTATGTGATTAATTTCATCTCTTTGGTGACTTCTTATATATTATTCATATATAATAAAACAATTCTTGAGTGCAAATAAGATATTTTCATTATGAAGTCAGCTTGTCCAATATAAACTGTAGTAGTTTTGGTGATTTTGTTTTTACACTTTAGGGTTCATGAGTGCAAACTGAATATTTTCATTATGAAGTTTTGCAAGTAGATATCTTATGCTCCACTTTGCTACAAAATGTAGTACATATTATACAGTTACACCCTCATTTTATGCACATGCAGGTACATTTTATTTTTAACATTTTTAAGTCTTGAGTGTAAACAAGATATTTGATGGAAATTCTGAATTTCTTTTTGCAAATGCTGTAATCTCACTTTTTTGTTATAATTCTGTCAAATGTTGTATTGTGGAGAGAGTACAAATGGTTTGGATTATTCTCAACGACAAGTGCCTATTGACTCTATCAAACAAGTTAATTTTATTGGAGATGTTAATGCATCCAATATCAAATTAATTAACGAAAAAAAGAAAAAAAAAAGTTGATAAGGACAAGATCTAATGTTTGGGATCCTTTTACCAAATTCGGAACTAAGGATGGAGGGAAGATTAGTAAGTGTAATTATCATGGAAAGTTTTATCATAGTTATACAAAAATTAATGGTACAACAAATTTTGGCATGAGAAATGCTTTAGATATATGATGAATTAAAATCATTATAGCATATTTTAAAGTGACATTGATTGAGAGAACACAAAAAGGCTAGTATGTTTCTTAGAGAAGTTCTATGAACTAACTTTATGTATATCGAGCTCATTGTATGTCAAATCAAACACATTTTTTCATGAAATTGCTAAAGTTTCTTTCATGCTTCAGAAATGAGAAGTGGAAATAGACCTTGAAATTAGAAACATGGCTAATAAGATGAAATAAAAATTTGATAAAAATTAAGGTTTTATTGATAAGATGAATTTGATTATATATTGCAGTTATTCTTTATCATTAACTTAAGTTAAGATACATTAATTTTGCAGTCATGGAAATGTATGAAGGTCCTAATGTGGCTGTTTGTCTTAGCACAATTAATAAGCTCATCTTATTATGATATGTTTTATGACTATAAGATGAAGGAGGTTGGTCACGGTAGAGATGAGAACAACAGTGAGAATAAGGTCTAGCAGTTGAACATAGAGATTTAAAAAATGGAGGGAGAAAATAAATAATGATTGAAAAGTTTAGGTGACATAATTGTGGGAGGGAAAATCTTGATAGAAAAACAGATTAAGAAAAATATTTAGCTAAAATTTTTGGAATTATGCAAAATGGTTTTTATATTTTGGCATGGTGGAAGTTTAATGTACCGAGATTTCCAATTCTCTTATTGATGGCTAAAGATGTCCTAACAACTACAATATCTACAGTAGCATCTGAGTCTAAATTTAGCACAATTGGTCTTGTTCTTGATGCTTTTAGGAGTTCATTATCTCCAAAAATTATACAAGCTCTAGTTTGCACTTAAGATTGGATGAGGGCAAAATGGACAAGTGAGTTTGTCAATGTTGAGGAGAATATTCCTGATATGGATAAATTTGATGTAATTAACATATTTGTTGAGGTTTTTTTTTATCATTTTTTATTTAGAAATTAATACTAACTCTACTTCTTTATTATCTATTATAGATTTATCAAATATTGCAACAAAATCAGAACTTTAGTTGAGTATTGATTGTTTTAGGGTTTATATTTGAGAGGCTCGAAGCCTGAATTTGTGTTTTTTATATCAGAACTTATATTTGATAAATAATATTTTTTTAATTGGTTGGTTGGCATTTAGAGGTGCCAAGTGCTTGGAAAACTGGAAGATTTTGTTGGGAATATTTTTATCTCTGTTCGTTGGTGTTCATTTTGTGTTGTAATTGGGAGGCTGGAAAACTTTATTGTCTCGTCGAAGCTTTTTGTTCTCTATTTAGAATAAATAATGGGTCTTTATTTAGGCTCAAATAAGCTTATATAGTGTGTTTTTTTTTTGCTAATGCATTTGGTTCATTGATGTACAATTTTGGTTGTATTGTTTATCTATGAATGAATGGGTAAATGCTGAAAGTTTTGACAATAATGAATATTATGTCATTGGGTAAATGATCTTGGAACAATCTACGTTGAACTAAGCATATGTATAGACCTTGCATTGAGCTTGTCACTCCAATTTTGATGACATAAATAACCATAGTAAATTTCTTTAAGAGTTTCTACTAGAGTTGCAACTAATAATTAACATTAATACATTCAATTAATTATTATATAAAGCAACCGTCAATTATACAAAAATACAATAGTATTTTTCTTCGATTGGCTTCATTATTACACATAATGTCATTCAGAAAAACATTTCTAATCTGCATCACTACATTACTTAAGCAATAGAAACGCTCTCTTAATAATGCAATATTACCTTAGTAGAAGGAATGCTTAAGATATATGATGAATTAAAATCATTATAACAGATTTTCATGCGACTAGCAAAGTAGACAATAAATATTTTTCAGCTTTATGTTAGCAATTAACTCATTAATAATTCTATCTTCATTCTTTATAGTTTTTGGTTTTTATTTCCCACAAAACTATTGTTGGGAACATGAATCCAAAGTTTCTAAAAATAGAACCTATAATATTTATCAAAAGGACAATAAAGTAAGTTTTTTTTCCCTATTTATGCCAAATCTTGGGTATGTTTAGGCGCAAATATGCTTATATAGTGTGTTGTTTTGGCTGATGCATTTTGGTGAGGTTGTCAATTTTGGCTACATTTGTTGGTTGAATAGTTACACTAATGAACATATTTCATTATGGTGAGGTACTAATATATTGGTTGACTCTTTTTTGGTTTATATGCAGCTTTTTGGAGCAGGTTTTTTCAAACAGGTTTTTAGGCAAGTTATGATGATGCTCATTATCCCATAAAGCTTAATCATTCATCTTGTTTCTTTTTTATTCTCATTCTTGTTTACTTTATTTGGTTTCCTTGATATGCTCTCTGATTTCTATAACTCTTTTCTCATTATGTTATTTGATAAGTAAATATAATTGGAAAGTTGGATGAAGAACATATACTCTCTGTCTTATGGTTTTATTTGTTGTCTTTACAGGCATTGGTTTGTACTTTCTATTTTGTTCTTTGTGTCTTTCAAATTTCAATTTTTTTTATCTGATACAGTGGTACTATGATAATTAATAAGAAAATATTTACTTTTAATGTTTTCTTCTTAGAATTCGGTTGGCCATGTTTATTTCTTAGAAACCATGATGTTGCAACTTGATTCTGGGAAGCTCTTTCGATGCTTTCTTGTCTTTGGATGGAGTTTCTGTTTGTGATTTGAAGAGCCCCGAGCTTTTATATGATTGTACCATTGAATTTTGATAGCATGTTATTCAGCTTTTGTTTTTTTTGTTTTTTTTCCTTTGCATTTCTGATTTTTTAAGATACAACTAATTAACTAAATATTCTTATTTAATATCATGGCTAGGCGTGTATCATGTTATTCAAAAATGTAAACTCTCACCATCCAATAATTTTAAAACTATGAATTAGTAATTTTACAATCAATTTATTTTTTGTACGTGGTTTCATGATTACGAAAATAAATTATATTTGTTAGTTTGTGCCTCTAAAGACCAACATGGTCGTGTTGTTGATGAAGCATTGAAGCATATCAAAATACGTGCAAACAAGTTAGAGAGAGAGCCCTTGACGATTCCCAAAAAAACATTAGTTTAGTTATAGAATAAAACAAATGTTGAAACGCTTAAAATTATGTGCAGCTTGATTGTATTGTTAAGTATTTATTAATCATGATTTCATGTAAGCTACCTATGAGTATTTTCTTAGGCTTTTCATTGATGCACGTTCTTTTCTTTAGATTTTAAGTTATAACTTATTTTTATCAATTCAATATGATATATATATATATATATATATATATATATATATCATATTGAATTGATAAAATAAAATTTGATTTGACTGGTTTGATTGTAATGAAGATATATTTGTTCAGTTGATTGATTTCTATATTCCGATTCAAACCAATCCATGTGAACCGACAGAATGCACACCCCTAACTTTAAGAATTATGACTATAATTTTATCATTTCAAAAGTTACACAATATATAAATTGAAAATCTCAAGTATTTTTATCGCCGAGAGTCATCCGATAGCGTTAAAAGTTAAAATGATCATAGTTTTAATGTGATGAAAATTTTAGGTGATAAATAAAACAAGCCAAATTTAGTTGTTAGATATGTAAATACACAAGCCTTGTGTAATATATGCAAATGTCTTTTTTTTAAACCTAATTTTGACAGGGTTAGTAGTTAGTACTAGCTCAAATTAAGACTCTCAGGATTAAGGCATCTTATTACCCAGCTCCCAAAGTCAAACAAGTTAACCGTCCAGAAAACAAAGCCGTTGCAAGCACATCACTGCCCACGCCTCAATTAAGTATAAAACATGTTCAAACTCATTTTTGGTAGGATATTGTTTAATGAGATTTAAATATAAATTTAACATATAAGCACATATAAATTTAACATATAAGCACCAAACGTCATAAATAAATTTAATAATTCACCATTATGTTAAATTCAATTTTTACTTATTTCATTTATTAAATCCACTTATTAATTGATGAATTTAATTTAAGAAAAAAAAAATATTCCAAATATATTCATGCCAAACCCTATTGAATTTAATTTTAATTGAACCAAATATTATTTCAAATCAAATAAAATTCACATCTAAGAAATTCAAATTTTATCAAATCTTAATTAATTTGAATCCCACTTGTAGCCAAACACTCCCTTAAAATGCAAATTAACTTTAAATCCAAACAATCTTAATCTGACAAAAACACAGTAGATAGTCGCACATACTTCAATCAAATCATCACGATTACTTGGCTGAAAAATAATGAAAAACCATGACGGGCAAAGCATATATATGAAAAGTTTCAAAACCACCTCGATCACAACAGAAATGCATCTCCTATGCTCTTCTACAAACATTTCACACGACCAGACATCACAGCATCTATAAAATTATTTTAAGGAAATTAAACAAAAAAAGAAAAAAACAACCAATCCAAATAGGTAACAAACTTCACCAACCGACACTGAGACTCAGATCCATCCCACTCCCATATCAAGACACAAGCCCGGAACTCAATCAGAGGTAGCTGAACAAATGTAGACTTGACAAAACAAGACAGTCTGCAACTGTATAATCTCGAGCATCAGCAGAAGCTTTGGGTTACGCAGCCTCTGTTTCGGCGGACGATGACTTCTTGACATCAACTGTGGCAGATGCTTCATCTTTGGTCTTCTCCTCACCTTTGTTTTTGCTGACGCTGAGTTTCTCGAGTTCGCCAGCGGCATCGGTGACATCTTCGCTATCTTTTTCGTCTTTCTTTCCTAAGGCTTCGGCTTGATTTTCGACAGTCTCCATGAACAACTTGCAGTCTGAGATGATGAGAACAGAGACGAACAGAAATAAGACAACAAAGGGAAACAGCAAACCTTTAATAATTAACACAAAAGCAACATTGTCAGACGACTTCCTTTAATATAATCTCGATTACCACCAACCATAACAATAAAGAACACGTAATAGAATAAAAATATATTCTGAAACTTTGAAATACAAATTCAGAGTCCAAAACACAGCACTTGACCCACTTAAAGACGGGCAAAGGAAGAACATCTGGCACTCTTCAAAGAACTCACTACAAGCAATCCTCAAAAGAAAACAAAACAAAACAAAAATAAAAAATAAAAACTATGAACAAAATCAAGCACAAGGAAATTAAAAATCAAAGCTAAATCAAACCACAGTGAAATTACAATCCAATTGAAGTTCAACAAGGCCCGCCACAAATCACAAAATACTGAACTCCCATGTACGAACCAACAACAGGGAACCAATGCGGCAAAATGGAGAAACAATTGTGAATCATTGAAGACCAAGTCAAAATGAACATAGAGAACTAAAAGTTGGGCAAAAAACCAAAGTACAGAATATAAAACAGCTCGTTCTCCAAATGTAATCCTAAAAAATGTGTCCAATTTAAAATAGAAATAAGAAAAAGAACTAAAATTAATTAGATTAATAAAAAAAATCAGATTGTCAAATTGCATTAATTCTGCCTAGCTTGAGAGAATTGAGCATTATATAGTCAACGAGCAAACCTAGGCATGATTAATTTGCTTTATGCGGAGCAAACCTTGAATCATCATAAGAAAGTCCATCAGTCCAAAGCACGTGATGCTCTCTAGTATCCACCATTATTAGTATAGACGCTAGGGATGTACCTGAGCTAAGAAGGCTTACGAGCTAGCTAGAGTCTGGCTCAATAAATTGCTCATAAGCTAAGCTCAATGAGCTAAAAAGCCAAGCTTGAGCCAACTCTGACTTCTAAATTCACTTGCTCTGATCTAATGAGCTAACAACCAAACTTGAGTCAGTTCCAACTCATCTTAACTCATGAACAAAGAAGTCAAGCTTCAGATAGCCAAGACTCGACTCAGTAACACACGAGCTAAAGACTTAACGAAACAAATTCAAGCCTGCTACTCAACCCTTTAGCCAGTGAGTCCGCTGTTTAAAAATTATTAATATAAAATGCCCTAATATTATATCATAATTCAAAAGTGTAAATATGAATTATTAAAAATATTTAAAAGTAATATTTTATTATTTATATGATGTCATTTCATATTATTGTGCTCGTTAAGTGTTCATTCTTGAGTTCATTTTATTAGAGCAATTGTTTGAATCAAAATCAATTTCTCATTAATAAATGAGCAGGCTCATAAACAGACTCAAACTTATAAAATTAAGCTCAAGCTAAAGCTCCATTAAGTAATTAAAGTCAAGCTTAAGTCGAGAGTAGCCCAGGCTCAACTCTTCACATCTACACCTCTGGTGGACCCAATATCGCCATCTACCATAGACTTGTGAATAAGAAATTGTTAGCACTGACTAGCATGGTGTTGGAGAGAAGAATCCAAAGCATTGGCTTTTTGTTCATTAAAAAAAAAGTCCAGAAATAATTAAAAAAAAATTTCATTTTAAAAATTCCTAATTTTTTTAATTTAGAAGTATTAATTCCAATGAGTTGCACAATTATAAATGGCCAACTTTACCGCATTTAACTTTTTAAAGCCTCCCGAAAGTAAGACTTAAAAATTCAATTGTAAAATAACAGCAACACCAGATTCAAACTCCTCTTACCTTAATCAAATCAACAGAAAACCAATTAAGTATCATAAGTAGCAGATCATTTTCAACGGATATCTTCATGCAGATGATATTAACTAATGAAAATAATAAAAAACTAATATTTTATCTAAGGAAATTTATTAAACTATAAATAATGCCAAGATATAATATAAAAAAATAAAAACAGATAAACCGCGTAAATATGATATAAATAGATGGATAAGCAGTCTTGGATAATATTGATGAAAAATTAAAAAAAATAAATTCATTTTTTATCTTAATCTTCATGAAACAGTGTTGTAATGGAAAAATCATAAAATTTGTTAACATTCAAATATCTAAAAGAAACTTTGGATAATATTTATGATGAATTGTAGCTTAATTCACTTATAAACACTAATCTAAACCCTTTCCCAATAACAAAAAATACTAACCAAATGTATTCAATGCATATCATTACATGCAAAACATTCAATAACAAAAAAAAAAAAAACACAACAATCACTTTGGTTATAACTTAAATTGTCCATCCTATCGGTCCTTAATACTGATAAAAGAGAAAGATGTATGTTGAATTAATTTTTTATTGTTATGCTTTCATGTTTAATATTTTATTTTGATATCTTAGCATACTTTGATAGTTTAATTTCTACATAACATATCTTATTTCATAATTTGATGGTAGGTATTAAAGCATTTTTTCTAACTTTGCACAATTTATTACTTATTACTTAGAATGTTGTTATATTATTTTTTAATATTTTAATAAGTGAGAATATTAGAATATAGATACAATTAGAATAAAGCATGAGATGAACAATTCATCATTGTCAACCATTGAATAATAAGACAACAACAAATCAATGCAAATATAACATCATTTAATAGAATTTTAAGAATTTATACTCAGTGATCTTGAATTGAATGCATAAAAGATTTTGAAATTGTTGAGATATTTTTAGAAAAGGGTGATCCAGCAAGACCCATTTAACATAATGCTTAGGGTCTGCAATAGAAAGATTTGAGTTTTCAAGTTGTAGGAGCCTATGGTTCCTTATATTTTTTGTAGTTGCTATAGTACCCACATAATTGCTATAACATATTAACAAAAAGTGGGAGTAAGGAAATCCTTTTAGGAGAATTGGAATTACATTCTATCAACTAGATAATATATTTAAAGGGGGCAAAGGAAAAAATTAACTTTTCTTAATCTAATCAATATGTAGACAACTTCTGCTTCCTAAACTAATTCCATTAAAAAAAATAAAAATTCAAATTTATCCTGAACAAATTGAAAATTTCAAATAGCACCCGCATTTTGGTCATTTATTAATCCAAATACATCTTGATCATTAGGGAATTGCTTGACAAGCCAACTTTGCTTGTGGACACCTAATGTTTTGATCTTCCTATCCAACATCATAATCTATAATAATTTAAATAAGATCCTCTTGAGTCAGAGCATTCCATCTTAAATTCATTTTTTTTCCTGCAAATGAGAGTTCTTTATCATTTTTTTCTTGTTGCCCCATAGCATTACTCTTTCTTTTCTTCTATGTAGTCTTGAGCTGCTAATTTTGCTCTGATGGTTGACCCTAACGGACAATTTCTGAATCAAGAAGAGAAAACTCTTGACCTCACTCAGAACCTTAAGGTTGTTGGCCTTTCCCATCTTCTATAAAGGTGGATACAATAATAGATCAACTGATTTGTGTGTATATATATATATATATATATATATAAGGCAAAAATTATGTGCTGTTTTCTTTAGAAGATAGCATCTTATTAGAAATCATAAAAAAAACTATAAATGAATTACGGTACAAGAACAAGCAAGTCTATATAAAGGCAAGAGGAAAAAAAAATTGAACTACAGTAAAGGAGAATATCATAAATAATAAAAATATATTATAACAATAAATATGATAGGCGTTTATTATAAATATAAATCATTGGAAATAACCTTAATATGTCGACATTATATTTTTAACTATAAAACAACTTATCCCGCAAATGCTACCTAGAATTACATGTATCCAAATGATACAATGCCACAAACTACATCATATACAAAGCAAATCTTTAAAAGAAGCAAAACTAAGAATATGTTTGGGACAGCTTTCTGCCTATGATGTGTTTCGCACCATCACCATAGTTCTATTTAGGGAACCGCTTTCTTGCTACTTTCAAGAAATTTTTGTGTGAATAGTGATTTTTTAAACATGACTTGTTAAAGTGTGTTGGCTTGTAAGAAAGACATTGTCTGATTTTTTGGAAAAAAAATATATTTATAATCCCCACCACAGCTTGCTAAGAAGTTATTTCCTTCACCATAATTTTACAACTATCTTTTTAAAAAGCTACAGCCACCACAAAAAACACTCACAGTTTATCAAAAAATCAACAAGCATTACTCTTTAATACTAACTCAAAGAATAGAGTTTTGATTGATGAGTAAAGATTAACCCACCTTATCACTCAACCAAAACTATGAAGATAAGAAACTTCTCATTACATGGATCCAAAATGGTAATAATAGTGGTAAAGTTCACCAGAAGCTTAAGATGAAATAATGCTTTACTTTCCTCATAAATAAAATAAATCTCTATAGAATGCAAACTAATGAGTGCATCACGGAGTCACTTGACAAATACTACTAAACCAACTAAAGGAATACGGTTTTGAATGTCAAGCAACAGTTAATAAATCCAAACTCTAAATCAAAAGATAGAGACAGTTTTCTTCACTGCATAGATCCAAAATGGCATTGAAAATGATACATTTCACTTGAAGCTTTACGTGGACTAACTCTTCCCAAATGTCCTCACTAGTATGTGCATGCAACTTCAAAGATTTAATAGAAGATGTTTCTTTGTCACTCTCGCCCTCAACCACATTTTTCTATAGTAGTGATGATCTTTTCCTTCTTGTCTTCCAATTTTGGCCTCTTTACTGGATAAAAATTCCAGGTATCATTAAGCTTGTTCCTTGACTTTTTCAATCTTCTCCTTTTTGTACAATTGCATGCAAGAACTTTTCCATGGGCTACATTTTGTAGTAGCTTCAACGAAATCAAAAGCTTAAAAAGCTTCACATCTGCGTGAAGGCTTTCATGAAGTGCAACTACATATTTCATGAATACCATTTTTTCATTCAGCAAATTTTGAAAGCAATTGCCTGCCATCTAATCTTTTATGTATTTTCAAACATTTTACACATTATCCCAACTTCAAATTCTACC